TTATCTATCTCTAGTTCAGGTTCAGTTCACATAAATCATCATTTGCCATCTATACAGTATTATCTTCCTGGTAGAGTAAAGGCCTCAAGAATAAAAGAAGAAAAGTGGAGGTGGTAGGGCCTTTTGTACAAGGTAGAGGTTAGAGAAATGTTTTTTTGGGTGGGGGGTTGTGAAGGTTAAGATAAATCTGAATATTCTTTATGATTGGGAAAAACAAGAATTGAGAAGTTGGCATTAATTTATATTTGTCTAGCCCTACATTACTTTTAAAGAAGAATTGATAGAAACCATACAACCATAGAAATAGGGCAACAATTATGAGCCAAAGTAAAGTTCAGTCATATCAGAAGATTCACGGTAATGATCACTTGTTATTTTCAATCACCCTTCCCAAGAATAGCACCCTAAACCTAAGCTATGTAGTTGTCTTTGTGTAACAAAATGGAAGCATGTGAGCTTAGCCTAACCTTTTCCCCAGCTCCAAGTGAACTGATTCTTTAATAACAGCATTATAAACAGTAATTATCCCAAATCCAGTCTTCTTCTTATATACCCAATGGTCATATAGACTCTTTATATTATGAAAAATTATAGGGATAATATAATATTTGAGATCTATGAAGACATTTATAAGAACTATAAATATAAAATAAAAGTATATGAATAGTTCACTCAACATTTAACATAAGGTCAGGTTAAATTTCTGTATTAATTAGTCATCAAGCTAAACTGTTAGTACAGGAAAAAATCTTAAATATGGACTTAGAATTTTCAAGAAAGCAGACAGCACAGCTTTTTAGGTAAAATTGGGCTTGAGACCTTCAAAGGCACCACTCTAACGCTGGTAGATTTGGGGGTACCACCTGTGGAATCCACAGTAGGTCATGAACCATAGAATAAAACACCACTGATTTAGATTAATTATTGGCTGATATTTCACTTAGGGCCTCCACCGCAAAGACAGTTTTAGCACTTGTGTACAAATAGAGGATTCTCAAGCTATTTTTCTTTGTACCAAAGGTATGGATATTTTGCATTATTAATTGAACAAAGAAACACATGCCCTAGCTAGCAATGTGGCTAAAATGTATGAAAACTGCAGATTCTACTTCTTTTGGTTAAATATAATGAACCATGGGATACATGAGCAGTAGGATGTACCTGGTGTTAGCATGTATTTACACACGTATGAACAAGCATATTTAAAAAACTGTAACGTTTCCTGAGCAGCCTTCTTATCAAGAATCCTGACATTTAGCACCGTAAAAATGAAAAAGAACACTCTAGATTACAAGATTTATAGAAAATGCTGAGTGTGGATTCTAAGATTTACTTATCAATCTGCTGATTCTATACACTCACACCCTTGAAGAAACCTGCAATTTAGACAGGTTTACCTGGGCGTTACCTATCAGATGCAATCCAGGGAAGAGAATGATCCCACCAAATGTTGGAACTTCTGAAAGAGCGGTTAATGATGGTTCCAAACAACAAAACAAATAGATTTTTGGCCTAACTATTAATAACATAAATAAATAGTATTGTAAAAAAAATTAATTTTAAGGGAACTTATTTTTGGTCACTGAATTCATTCTCTAAAAATTAGTATTTCTTTTAAAATGGTTAACTATACAAGTGTACAGAAAATGTAATAATGAAAAGTAAGATGTCTTGGACAGTCCCACTCCATAGCTGGCTGGTGAGTTACCTGCTACTCTTACTTCCTAGACAAATATTTGCATAGTTGTGATCATGTATATATAAAAGTGGCATTCTCTTTTCATTATCATTTTTCTTCATCCTTTAAAGATTTTTTATTGGCCACATGGTATTGACTTTGATGAATCATAATTTATTTTCTGAATTCCTGAGCAGAAATAAAAGTTGACATTATGGTTTTACTGTTACCAAAAATCCTGTGGTGAATAGTTTAAAACCTATCTAGCCATTTTATTGGTTTGAAGTCCCAGCATAAGATTAGAGCAATAGTAGTAGCAGGAGTAGTAGTAGCAGCAATTCTCCAAAGAATAAGAAAGAAGTGTTTTCATAGTTCTTTACCACATAGATTTTGCAGATTTATACTTCCACTTAAATGGCATGTGAGTTGTTTCCTTACCATATAAACTCAGTAAGTAGATAATGTGTTCAATATAAGGTTGAATAAAACACTGTGCTTTAAAGGGAAGACAGTTTTATTCTATAAAATTATAGCTTTTATTAGATGAGTAATTCTGACCTACAAGGTATATAAAATGATTCCATTTATCAACATAGAAGCACCTTTTTACATGTTAGAAAACCTTTGTTTTAGGCTGGTTGGGAGTGATCTGGCTTAGAAATAATTTGCCTAATTGATTTTATTTCATTGAGAAGAATCAACTACTTAATATTTGAATTATCACAATAAATTTATAATGCAACCTATTTTTTTTATTTTTTTTTCAAAATACAATTTTTTTTATTAATTACACTTTATTCACTTTGTATCCCCCCCTGTGGTTCTCTCCCTCCTCCCCTCCCGTCCCAATCCCTCCCTTCCTCCACCCTCTGCATGCATGCCCCTCCCCAAGAATGCAATGTATTTTAAAATACTTGGTTAAGATGTGCAGGGAGAAAGATAGAGCAGAGATTGAGGGAATTCCCAACCAATGCTTGACCCAACCAAAGACCCACCCTGTTGGAGAGTGCCAGCCCTTGACACTATAAAATATGCTTGGCTAAACTTGCAGATAGGAGCCTGACAGAGTTGTCCTCTGAGAGGTTCTACCCAGCCGCACCTCAAAACAGATGCTGAGACTCACAGCCAAACATTGGGTGATGTGTAAGGCATCTTGTGGAAAAGTGGGAAGAAAAAGGAAAGGACCTGGAGGTGATGGGAGCTCCACAAGAAGACCAACAGAGACAAGTAACCAGGGCCCATAGGGTTTCCTGAGTCTGAAACATCAACCAAGGACGGTGCATGAAGTGGACATAGACCCCTACAAAGATGAAGTTAATGGGCAGCTTAGGCGTCATGTCATGTGGGTCCTCTAGTAAAGGAAGTGGGGACTGCATGTGGGGCTGCATTAGACAAAGACTAACTTGCCAGCTTTTTGATCACTTTCTCCTGGCAGGCCTTCCTTGCCAGGCCACAGGGAAAGAGGATGTGCTCATTACTGATGAAACTTGATGAGTTGGGGTGGATGGGAAAGGGAGCTCACCTTTTCCTCAGAAAAGGGAGGAAGGTTGAGGGAGGAAGAAGGTTGGGACTGGGAGGGGAGGAAGGATGGGGCTACAACAAGGATGTAAAGTGAATTTAAAAGAATTTAAAAATTAAAAGAATACTTGGTTATAGCCCTAAAGTCAGTTGTAAATTCATATTTGTTCTGCCTAGCTTTAGTTTCTTTCATTACTTAGCAAATTCTGCCTCTAATATTTTCCCATGTAACATGAATAAATTGAATCATAATTTCTTTGCCTTCAAGGAGTTCTACATCCCCAAAGCAAAAGAAAGAAATGTATCTATAGCTCATTTTGAAAGTTATAGTGTTATGACATTAATTTAATTCATTTTTTATTAACAAACTTTATCACTCAAACATGACTCAGCCATTTGTAGAGCATCAAATTCAAGTTAGTTGAATTAGTACCTAAATATGCAATATGGGTACTGCCCAAGGGATCAGAACAGTGTGTGTGGATTTCACGCATAGTTAGAACATGATCCTAAGTCCAGAAGATTATTTAGAAAAATGCTGAATCAAAACTTCAGAAAACTAAGAAAATTAAATTCTGTATTCATATTAACAATTATGATTTATGATATATGTTATGTATCATTACCTAATCTTATACCACTTGACTTTAAATGTTAAGCACAAACTAAATAATTAGTATTTGTAGAAATATTGTTGCTTCCAAAATTATGAAAAAGACAAAAACTTTGGTAGACAATTGCCTTTTAGCAGAAGTTGATAAAAGCTCCAGCTCTTTTTGGTCTTTATGGTTTTCAGTTTTCAAAAATGTCTGAAATTTCAAAATTTGTCAAGCAATTATCTTTGGAGAGAAAATCAACAAAAATCAAACTTTTATGTTCTAACTTCTCATCTTCCATAATATTTTTTAAGTTTAAAAAAATTTTTCCATGTTCTACATATTCTAAACAAGCACTAACATTAGGGAAAGCTCTAACACGAGGAACTTTTGAGAGCCAATGTCATAGCAAATTGAAAAGTCTTAGTTGCATGATAATTCTGTCATAAACTAGGAGAGAGGGGGCTAGCTTTTGGCCTGCAGAAGACACTGGATAGTAGGTCAGCTGGGTCTAAAAGGGGGAGTCTCCATCAATAATTGGAAATTTTGTTTTCAAATAATTATTGGATTAGTGACTATTATATGAATCAATATGTCCACATAACCTTCACCAAAGTGTTTAGACACCGTACTGGCATAATTAAAAATGCATAATTCAAACAATAGTCTTAATTTTGGAAAAACAGGATCTATAGTGGTGTATGAAATGGATCAGCAACATAGGACATGATCTAGAACAAGGCTGTGAACCACAAAAGTCATTCATGAATATGGCACAAACCAAACATCTCTATCTAGACTCATATTTCCTTATCCTTACTTTTAATAACTTCTTAAATATGCCCCTCACATATACACTTTAGAACCACTGAATTGTGTAAGAAAATCCGTCTATTTTATTTCATCATAGAAACGTATAAGGCAATGTCATTAATAGTTTGATTTCTATGAACGTGATGCAGACTTCAAATAGCACTAATGGGCTTTTAGTTCCATGTTGAGTTTTATTTTTAATGTGGATTTTAGCATACCACTAAATAAGTAAACTTCCTATAGATAACACTTTCTGTAATTAAAATAAAATCTGTTGAGTCAAGAAAAATGCTACTACTTTGTGACTCATGCGAACACTGTCCAGAGCTTGGGTAGTCATTTGACTTTTACACAACTGCTCCAGTATTTCACTGTAGATTTCCTTCTTTCCTCAGGGCCGGTGCATAAACTTCTCCCGTGTTCCACATCAATAAGACGAGAGCACACAGTGTGAGAAGAGAAGAAGACAGCACATCTTCATGATGCTGACTTCCAACAGAATGGACAGTCTAGTGCATCTCAGAAGTTCCTGGGAAAACAGCCCAGCTCCTCTCTGTCAGGAAATGTCTCTTCTGCCTTCTGCTTCTTGTGCACCAAACATTTTCAAACACTTATTCTGCCATCCACATGAGAGGTGATGAAAGTCGGCGAGTAACTCATGATTCATGACACTGAGAATACAGAGGAATGTTAATGTGCATGCTACAGTTTATGCAGAGCTCGTTTGAATGTGTAAGAGGACAAAGCAGACACAGCGATGAGGTACCAAAGCAAGGACTGCAAATCCACCAGCCATGAAGGCTTGTAATGGAGACTGGTGCTTTTGACACGGATGCTTGGAGTGTGTGCTTTTGTTCGGCTAGATCTTTAGCCAGACGCAAACCACGAAATTTCCCACCAGGCTAAACAGAAAATGGAGTCCAGTGCCTTGGAGCTATGTCAGATAGCAGAGCCTTCCCAAGTCCTCCATTACTTTGTGCCTTACGGAAATTTTCTGACTAGAAAATCTTGTCACTGTTACACTGAAAGTGCACACGCATGACCAAATGTAGACCAGATGCCTCAAGGTACTGGATGCAAGCAGGATTTTGCCCTTTCGTTTTCCAAGACACCTTTCTTTCATTATGCACTTGGGACAGGAGAATTAATAGAGCGTTAATTCAACAGGAAGACCGCCTCCAACCAAAGACCTGGAGTGCAGCATACAGACTCATGATTTGAGATGTTGTCCCCGGCCTGGTAGATTCCCCCTTTCTCAGCCTTTGGGATTTAGCAGTGCATAAAGCGTTAATATCTGTAAACACACCTAGGTGTTTGTTTGGCTTTTAATTTAAGGAAGCGGTAACCACAAAGCTTCCGCTCAGGGTTTTTTTTCCTTCCTTCAAGTCTCCAAGGGCTCTTCAGCGTCACAAGCCAGCAACTCTCTTTGCATGAAAATTTCAAAGTTTAATTAATATAATTAAAGGCAACAGCAAGCAGCAGCCTGTGAAGATTTTGCTCATCTTTTTTATGCCTTTTGACATTGAACGACCTATCACTGTTTGCATGTTAGTTGGAAATTCAGGAGCACCGCACCTTGGTTGTGATTCAGCCAGGGAAAAAGACCCCCTTTCCTTCATTTTACAAATTAAAATCCGGAGGGGTGCCATCAGAGAGCGTTGACAATATACGTACTATAAATTTTTAGAAATATCACCATTGTGTCACATCGACGATGCCAAATTATGTTAGCGTGAGCAGAAACACGGTGGGGGAGGAAGGCGGCAGCAGCTGAAGGAAATAGCTCAGATGATCTAGTCACTTTCGATACTGTACTTCAGATGCGAAATGGATATTCGACTGGAAACCTGACAAAGTGCGCCTGCTTTGATGTGAACTGGTATAGACAATGACCAGTGGCCGGGTCAGTGGGATGTCTCTCTGCGAGCACAAAGGCTTATCAAATGACACTAAAAATAAGTTCAACAACCATCACTTTGGAAGGAAGAAGGCGAGCATTTCATGTTTGGCGGGCATGTGAGTTCACAAGACGGAACGAACGATTTAGAGCATCCTGGTATAATTACCCACATTGTGCTCTTCATGGAAATTTCAAAGGACTGCAGTGATACTTTTGGTTGGTGTCCAGGTTTGTGGCACTGCTCCAAGAAGCCTTACACACCCATACAGATATACAAGTGCACACACATACTCTCTAGCTTGAATCGTTTTGCTCAACCTTATTTATGTCACTGACTGGCTGGATCCAAAGTCACACCTCCACGTATTAGTGAATAAAATTTTTTACCTGTGTCTCCGTTATCAGTTTCTTTAAGTCCTCGTAGAACTTACGCTTTCTTGGGTTGAATACACAAGGGTTCTGGTTACTAACAAGAGGGAATTCTTCTCAGTTGCAAAACGTCCAGCATGTTCACAGTTGATTCACAGTTGATGCTATGAGTACAATCTGTGTGTGCACGTGCAGTTGTACATCCAACTCTCTCAGCAGTGAGTCCTCACATTTGTTCTGTGTCTGCCTCTAGAGCAAGACCTATGGCTGCTTTCTCCAAATGGCCACTTCATTTCTGATGCCGGCACACCCATCACTGATATTTTAAGAGCCTCAAAAATACTATAGAAGCTCTGGCTATGTTTCTTTGGTAACCACTTTAAATTTTTACAGAATCCTGTAGCATATTTGCACCATGAGGAATGTAAATAAACCTCTGCCTTTAAATGGCAAAATAGCTGTCTTGAGATTTGTTGCACTGGCTGGAGATGTGTAATAAAAATACAACAAAGAGCTGTAAATGAAGTGGGTGAGTCATGAGCCTATACATAGGCTGAAAAAGTATCATTCATAAGGTTCAAAGACAGATGGAATTTCTTTGCCCTCACAGTTATGAACCAGATTAATGTTATGCTTTAATCGCAAATCTAACCAGAAATGAGAAGAATTTGTTTTTAAAGTTAATCTTCTTGGCAAAGGACATTGAAAATCTCTGCGTGACACTTTTCATACACAGCAATAGCTCCTGTGTGATTTATCTACACATGACGTCAGTCGAGATCTCCTTCTTTGTGCAAACAATTGAGTCTTGTCCATCATCCGTTTGTGTTGCATAAGGTTGCAAAAGCAATTAAGTGGGAAATGACTCCTAACTTATGTGTCTCCTCTGCCTAGAAAGAAAGTTTTGAAGGCATCTATATATATTTCATAACAATGTCTGTTCTTTATGGATTTGATCCATAAATATTTATCTATCTGAAAACTTTGATACTTGGAATGTTTTCTGTAAAGCATTTGGTGCTCCAAGGAGAAACATTTGGTGCTAAGAGCTGCAGTACTGGTGCCTTCCCCCAAGTTAATTCTATTTTAAAAATTTGTATTTCCTTCCCAATGAGATGCAGAGTAAAACTTGAGTGTCTCCATTGACTAGGGAGCAGCGTCTGTCATCTGTGGTTAATTAGTATTTTGTAAGTGTGCATAAGGTTTAAAACCTTATATTTTAAATTGTTGAGAAGTTTTGCTTATATTTCCAATGAACTTTGTTCTGATCATTTAAATAACATTATTTATCATTTAAAAATATAAACCCTTACTGGATACAAGTTAGGGTTGTCTGTATGAACTGAACTTCATTTTTTGAGTATCCCTGACCCTTATGTGCTGTTCAGAGGTAGACTTTTTTTTTTTAATATATTTTAAGTTTGAAATACTATCTGTATTGTGGTGAGCAAGTTAATGGAGACATTTCTGATGAATTACAGACGTTATGTTTGGTAATTCTGAAGACAAGATATGATAAGGTTATGAATGTAAGTACTAGAAAGCATTGTAATTTCTTTCTTTGCATATTCTGGTTAGCTTTTGTTAGATTTTCATCCCTACCATATTAGGAAGCTTACTAGAATTTAATTACCACTCTCAAAGTGGTATGTATATGCACACAGGAAAGATGTACATTTCTCTCTCTCCCACACACACACACACACACACACATAAATACACACACACTTTAAATGTTTAGATTAACCGGTGCTTCTGATTTAAAGTTAAAGAAAGAGGTGGGCAAGGTGTAGCCACCAAATGCCTATAGTCAGTGTAGCTCTAGTGAAGTCTCAGTAGATTAGCTTTATGTCTGGTACATTTCTACGGAATATTCTGCGAACACTTTAATTTTAGTATATTTCCATATTTACAAGAAATTTATTCAGTCAACTGGGTAAAGGAAGAGTAAATTCATTGAAAACTCACAATGTAGCTGGAATCATGCTTTTGTATAAAATATTTTTTTTTTGTACTTCTTCCATACAGAAATTCTAATATGAAAGTACCTGGACAGAGCATATACATTTATATATAAATATGCTTGTGTAGGTTGCTTTACCCACTAGTCATCTTAGGAAGTTGGTTGAGGGAGGTCCTACATGGAGACGTGGTGGCCAGCTGGCTGCCTGGCCTGAGAGGCCAACTGTTCGGTAATATCAAAGTTTCCTCCCAGTTCTGGTATTTGAATACAAGTGGTGAAATCAGACGTTATAGTATTTATCTGACTGTCTTCTTTTCTGTAATGTTTGGCAGCATTAGTTCCGTAAACCGCCAATTTAGTTTTAGAAAAGACACTGAAATGTAAAGTATAATGTGATAGTTAGCCCTAATGGGGTAATTTCTTAGTTATTATTTTTTTACACATAACTTGTCAGAGCGACTGGTACTATAGTCAGTGAGTGACGGAAACCTCTGAGAAGTTGAGCAAAACATTGAAAAGTCCATTAATACAGTTAGTTCTGACCTTACAGTCTCACTGTCTCAAACGTACATATAAAGATTCAAAAGACAAGCCCTGCTATAAAATAGTTTATACATTATAGACATCTAAAATTTAAACTTTCTTTCAGTCAACATTAGACAAAAAAAATGCAAACAGAAAAAAAGCCCCTTAATTAACGCCTAGGCTTGTTTTGCCCATAGCACATAGTCATCAGGAACTATTTGTAGGAGTGATTGGACATAGTTTAGGATCTGTATTATCGCTGGATAGCAAACACTGCATGAAGTTACCCTGTTCTTAGGGTAGAAGCTCACTGTAAGAATTCCACTTTAAAATAATACTATTTTCCCCTAATCATTCTTATTTGTATCTCAGACAAATGCTCTTTGCAAGTTTGCAAACATTATTCATAATAAAGAGTAAATTTTAAATATGATTAAAATGTATGTTAAAGTAGATTGAATTTAACTAGAAATACTAGGAAAGAATTTCCAGAGTGCAGGCCATTGAAAATGAATGCATTTCTGTCCTGAAGGAAAATACTAGGTCATGGTAAACAATTTAGATGCAAATGAAAGGGACTGAGCACTTTCAAAAACATAGATGATAAAGGAAGTTGTTGCATAATGTGTTAAATTAAGAACAAGTCTAAATTTTTTGGCATGCTCATGGACTCCACCATCTGATTTGTAAAAATAATTGGGGAAAGAAAAAAACTCAAAGTGTGAAACAAAACTGACCATTTCTAGCAGATGATGCCTATAAATGGAATTTTGACTTGATGAAGTTCTGATGTGAAATCAGACAATTACCATGATCACGCTAAAGTTTTCTTCAAGTTCTTTTACTTTTTAGAACATCTTTTAATCCTCAAATGTTTCTGCTAATTAAATAGAGCAATGACAGACCTTCATTTTCTTTAAATACTTTGTTTGTGTGAGGCTGTCATGCAAAAAGAATGATTATATTTTAAACAATATGTTCAAGTGTAAAAATCTTCAACAAATTCTTAATGTTTTTATGGGAAAATTTTTGAAGAGTTTTGTAATGAGTATTTTGAGACTCCTCTAAGGAGAAAGATATTTCAGAAAACTGAAAAAAATGTAAATAATTTAAAGAAGGTATCAGAGACCTCATCATGACCTATAGTGTACTTTTCGGGAGATTAGGTGGCATACCGCAGAACACTAAATAAGAAAGTTATTGTAGCATCATGGTTGCCTAGCAACTGCTCAAGACCTACTGACCAGATGTATTTCTAGGACTAAACCAATACTTTCCGAAGTTCTTATCAAATGACAGAAAAAAGCTGATTCATTGAGCATCGTGGGTACACAGAGTGTATTCTCAAGTTCCTCAGATAGGCCTCATGAACAGGCTGGAGATCAATTTTCTTTAATAATATTTCCTGTAACTTCAAAAGTCAGTTTGATACATTTCACCTCAAGGTTATAATCACACATGTTCATAATTCCTGGCTTTGAGAACCTTTTACTGTCAACAAAAATTGAGCAGAGATGGTTATTTCACTTCCCTGTCTCTTCCGTAACAAAGCTCTGCAGTTTCCCAAATACAACACAAGCCGCTTAATCTCTCCCAGTTGTGGATGTCAGGAGCCTGAAACTGCTTTCTTTTCTTCACCCTCTTCAATTTCTACTGCTGCTTGCAATCTTTATCTTCCTTCACCTCCAAAACGCCTCATGCCAACCTCCTACAGTCACCGCCTCAACAGTGTCTCTGATCCCCTGCTGCCATACAAAGATCGTTGTGACTGTCCTGTGCCCGCTCACATAATTCAGCATGAATATGCCTTAGGTTCCCTTTCTCTACACAGACTATCAACCATGAGTTCTGGAGAGGAAGACATGAAAGTTGGGAAAGGCCATTACTCAGTCTACTGCAAGCTTGTAAGAATCTCCCTTTTAGTAAATACTATTTTTTTAATCTACCATCATAAACACACAAGCTAGGCTCAGCAATCAGTGTTAAATCCTCCCCCATGCAAATTCATTATCTTGCTATGCCATGATTGGAGAAGGGAGAGGACCTCCTTTTGTCCCCATTCTTCTGTGCTGTAATTTTTATATTTTACTTGAGACTTCATACAAGGAGTGTAGCTAAGGGATACATTGCTGGAAGATGTTTGCCAGATGAGAAATCTCCCAGAAGTAGGAAGCAGGTGGTTAGAGTTTTGTTTCCTTCAAAGCATTTGTGCAGAAGGCCATAGCATAAGTTAACTAAGCTATTCCTGAAAAACTTTCTGCTGTCATTCTGAAAAATGTTTAGGAAGGCATTTAAATATCACCAGAGACTATAGACAAAAAAATACATTGATATTCTAATGCTAACATCAGTAATAGACATATGGACTTTAACAGAACTTTCTCCCACCTGTTAACTGTTTTAATCCATAATTAGAAGTGTTTTTAATTTAATTATTTTAAATTAAAGCGAACCTCACATTATAATGACAATTATAATGATAGTTATAATGATAGCCATAGAAGTGTTAAAGTCTAAGATGAAAAAGAGGGGTTA